ATATAATGTTCTCTGACCCTAATGTTAGGGGTTGAGTTATAAATTTCCCATTTGTCTACAACATGACACATGTATCTCATTTTTTCTTTCAACACATCTCCTCGCTTTTTTATTGCTCTCAGTGCTTTCCAAAGACTTTGAGCTCCTCTCTACACATTGACCGACCCACATGTCCAATGAAAACATGAGGGCAGTAATACGCTGGGATATTCTAGGCAGGGTTAAGACAACAGGGCAGGGGGCCCCGCCTCAGGCCTCATAGATCTCATGAAAGAAGGATGGATCCGTGAAAATATTTGGATGTTCTAGGCGAGCGAAATGCCTGAAAGTCTATGTTTGTGCATGTGTGACTGGCGGCGTGCGGTCAGTTTCCGGTCATCCAGGACTAAAGTGAAGTGCTTCTCATGATCGTTTGCTCAACTTCTACTTTAGAAATCTTCTGGTGATCGGCTCTAGGTTGTGAGAGCGAGCCAGAATTAGCGGTGAGCTGTGATTAAACATGAACACAGGCTTTTCTGTCAGAGACATGGGTGGCAGGCAGATTGACCTGTAGTTAGTGACATCAGAGAGACAGACGGTTGATAAGGTTTTATATGCGTATAAAGATAAGGCAAGAGTTCATTTGCTCTGTACTGTATTACCGTGACAAACAAATTGATCACTGTCTGCGACCTATGCCCTTTTAAACCCCCAGCAGACAGAGAAAATGACAGATGGGTCTTTGGTTGAGGGGAGGGGATATCCTATTCTCAGTCAATGTCATTGTAGTCTCACCCTGGCTCTTCTTCCTCTGTTTCCCCTTCTGTTTTCAATTGCATCATCACTGGTTTCAGCAGAAACTTGACAATTTCAAATTTCTATTGAAGATAATACCACATTCCAGTCAGCTTGTTCACAAAACCAGAAACACTTTCCTGGTGGGTAAATTACTCTGTGAGAGACCCAGGTGTTCCTCAGCATCAGGTCAAAGTTTGAACCAGGGTGGATGGGATCCAAAATGGGAATCGTGGCAATTTAATGGGCCTTTTGACCTCAAACATTGTCTCTTTATCACTTTACTTTTCAATAAATAGTTGTGTTACTTTTGTATTTACCATATTTATCATATCTTATTTACTTACCAAATTCACTAACTGAATGCAGCAAAAATGAGTCATTGTCATGTTTTTATGCACAAACTTGTTTTCTTTCACATTTCTATAAAAGTTTAGTGTTATTAGTATTATATGTAATCACCAAATTCTGTTTTATTTATCTGAAGCAATGGACACACTGAGTTCGCGACGCGCTTCCGTTTGGAAACATATCACTTATTTCCGGTTACGTTTACTTTCAATGTACTGCGGTCAATGAGTTGAATAAACACCACCTAAAATGAGTGTCTGTAATACGATTTTATATTTTGGACATTTTTATTGACAGAAGAAGGGATATTCTGATGTTTACCATGTGTAGAATTTTCAAAACTAATCGGAACGTTAAGTTTAAATCCAAACCAAGCCAATACGAGAAAGCTGCGGCAAATACGCCATTATTTCACCACAGGGTGTCAGTGTTCGTCTACACTAGTGACCTCGACGCTGAAACATATATGAAACACGAACATTTATTTATTTGGATTAAATATTGTAATCAATAATCATTCAGTGTCGTTTTTCCAATGTCAATCGTTTTACTATTACATGTTCATGCCCAAAATGCTTAATTTATTCAGAGAAGTTGACTTATTCTAGCTGAGTGCGTTCTGATCGTAGGTAGGCACCTCGCGATCATTCATTCATTCATTCATTCATTAAACTATTTTAAAAAGACAGGACTAATGCACACTTTTTGTCAAATTCATTAAAAAAAAAAAATGTAAACTCAAGTATAGAATATAAGTAGGCTAATACTGTTGTTAATGAGAAGACAGAACACTGCAGGTTAGTGCCTATATTCAGAATCGAACAGTTAGAAAGAAAATAAATAACAATACAGCCCATTGAAGAGATGCATGACTATCCCTCACAGCCTCGCTTTCTCATTAAAAATCAAAGATGGCGCTGCCGTGAATAAGGCGTATTAACGTGCTATTACCGCATTCAGAAATGTCATTAAAAGAAATTTTGTGTATATTTTCATTGAACGTGGCAGTGGCGATTCATCAAATGATAATACAAGAGCGATGCATATTAAGAAACATGGTGTAGTCACGTCACGTACATTTTCACCAGTCACCTGACTCTTGAGAATTGTTGTTGGAGCAATAGGCTTACTATTAAATCACAGTAAAACAAGATATTGATGGTCTGCTGTATTCTCCTTAGCCTATCATTAGGCAATTCTAGTTTAAACAAGTATGTTTTTATCGGTCATAACTTCTGTGCAGAAATAGCCGACACCAGACAAAGATGAAACTTTCGTTTGTTTGCATCAAAACTGAAGTATACTTTGGGCTTATGCGTTTTACTGTAGGCTTTGTATACGCTAAACGCTTGCGTCAAAACTGAAGTATATTTTGGGTTTAGGCGTATGCTAAACGTTTGCGTCAAAACTGAAGAATACTTTGGGCTTTAATGAATTCACCTATGAGTTTAATCTTTTTAACCTTCAGTATACACATTTAATAGTAAATTGTTGTGGAAACTTCATTGTAGTGGTGGATTGGTCATTGAGTGGATTGATGAATAAGTGTTTATATGTAGCCTGCACACACTCACACTCAAACTCACGCAAAGTGCAGTCAATTAGTCCTTTTAAAAACTAAAACATTTGCTTTGGTTTCAGATCTAAATTGTCGATTTGGACAATCAACCATGAGGTTTCTATTAGCTGTCTTTGACTTCACTGTTCGGGCAAAATACAGACTCTCAACTTTAATTTTAGGATATTTGCATTCATAAATAACAAGCTGTGTTAAAATTACAGTCCTTTGAGCAATTGTAATTGGACAGCTGTCTGTTCAGCTGTCTCCTGACCAGGTGTGCGTCATTAAAGTGTTAGCACGCGCACGGGAGAGTTAACAAAAGCTTTAGTGTTGAGTCTAGGTGTGTCATTGCTGTCTTTCAACATATGTGAAGTGTTCACCACTGACACCATCATGAGTAGCAATACTGGTATTAGCCCTGCAAATGCAGCATTCAGATATATTATATCAATATTCAGCCCAAATATAAGCTCTTCTTAAGATTTAATGTGAGATGACACCCTTTATTCCACTCCCTCCCTGTTGCCATTTTCCAAACAGTTGATTGTCTCTTTTCCCATACAGGTGGTTTGTCCTGAACAAACTGCCCCAGGTTCTTTCCTCATCCCAGCAGATAGTGCGACTAACACTGTCCTTTCTTTTCCCGAGTCTGGTTGTTCCCTCATTCTCTCATCTAGAACTCCCTAGTATTGAAACATTTCTCAGTGTCCTACTGCTTTATATTTTTATGTGTGCTGATGCCACTTCATAAACAGTTTACTGGTCAAGTTTGTTGGATAAACAATCCGCTTCTATATACAATTCTGACCTGAATTCTTATGTAACACTTATGTGGTCAGTCTGGGTGAGCGTTTGAAAAGTTAAACTATCCTCTACCATCCCCTTGTGGTTTATTGTAAAAACGAAATCCGTTTTTTTTTTTTTTGTATGCCTATTTTTGTAAATGCTTCCTATTTTTAACGTATATAAAATTATTATTCATAATTTTATAACATCTTTTTTTATTATTTGTATTTTAATATACATAAACTTCAACCTCTGCTGAATTTTAGGTAGTGTGTATATAATGAAGTATTTTAGATATGTATTTCAGGTGTGGTAGCTTAAACATCCTTAAAAAAACTTGAGTACAAGACCCGCTATGTCAGCCTGTGAGGGGCTACATTGTTGTCCACTTATTAAGTTACATAGAAATTTTTGTCTTAATGCTTTCAAACTGTAGTCTAGGGGGCCTCAAGGGGGTGCTAAGGGGGCCTTTGGAAAATGTCAGAAAGATTATTGAGAAATTAGTCAATATTCATTATGAAATGTGTTATACATCAGGCATTTGCTGTTGCTGCACCGAGACTTTGGAACAAGCTACCCCCTGATATTCGCACTATTACGGATGAAACTACTTTTAGATCTAAACTTAAAACCCACTTATTTAGAATGGCTTTTAATACGCAGTAGTGGTGGGACAATGTCTTTTTCTTGTTTATGTTGTTATATGTATCTATACTTGTGTATTGGGCTGTTTTATCGTGTTTTATTACTTTTATGATGTGAAGCACTTTGGATTCCTGACGGTTGTGTAAAGCGCTATAGAAATAAACGTTGATTGATTGATTGATACAGATACATTTGATGAATTAATACTTGTTTAAATTTATAATATTGTTCATATAATATTTTTATTCATATATGTTGTCTCTGTATTCGCCACTCCTCTCCTACTGCTTGGTGGTGGCATTATTTTGTATTTTGTATCTATTACAATTTTAGAATAGTGGTTAAACAAAACGTTTTTTACAATGACAGATTCTGAAACTTTCACATTTAAATCATCAGTCTTAAATATTTGGTTATGCCCTTTAGGAAAATAGCTTTACTTTCTTCTTCCAAAAGTTTCGTCTCACCTCACACAGCTAATTATGAACCTTTTGAAAGGTCAAATGTCGCAGACCTTTTCGGGAAACACTTGTCATTGTGGTGCCAGTGGGTCGGCACTGTTGTCTGTGAAAGTAAGGCAAATAGTGTGAATCCTAAAATGAATCCTAACCTTCGACCTCTCTAACGTAAGTCTATCTCCGTTCCCCTGAAATGATCCGATTTTTCTGGATTTAACGTGTGAGCGAGAAAATTCCCGTAATGATAAGTGTCTTTGAAGAGAGCTTTTACTCAAGAGTGTTTCATTTTCCTGAGTGTGTATGTGGAATTGCATTAGGGAGAAGGAGAGTCTTTAAATGCGTCCATTAGTCCATATGCGCATCTATTTGTTTGTGTATGTGTGTACTGAGTCAGTCTCGGTGGTGTAAAGACAGTCTGTGCAACACAGGAAGCCAGCATGTCTTCCATATCTGCAGAAAACAAGGACTTATACATCTGAAGGACGCCACATACTCACCTTGAACGCACTCCAGGTAAGCTGTGCCTGCCAGGCAGATCTCATTAAAAAAATCTTCAAGATCTGGATTTATTGCTCACGATCAGTTACTGCTTGTAAATGGAAGCCGTTCAGATGCTTCATGGCACTTTTATCTTGGTTATCGTGTAACGTTGTGCTTGGTTAATCGCCACAGACCTTTACGGCAGACAAATAAATTTAACCATCATTTTCTCACATGGTAATTCGAAAATTGTTTTCTTCTCCTTAGCCATTTTTAGCCAAAAAATGAAGCCTCCAATACTGCTGTTTTGGATTTTTGCTGTGCGTGTACACACTTTTGTGCTCCAGCCGAGTAAGTGTTCATTCACTATTTTACTCATTTAAATTATTTACTCATTATTAAATTATTACTTTACTTAATATTTTGTTAGGTCTTTGTTTTAAGGTTAAGTACAGAATTCTGACATGCACTGTCTTGGACTAAGAAACATGCATTATGTTCAATTCAAATATTATAGTATTATGAACAAAATGGTGTAGTTTGTCAGTAACATCCCTACATAATGGCTCTAAGTGCAGTTATTTAATCATGTAATGTAGATTTCCCAAATGATCTTTCTATTTTAAATGTTTATAGTAAAATGTATTATGTATTTAAATGTCCTAAAAGCAACTGAATCATTTATTTGTGAGGAGTAAAGTGTTTGTAAAGTTCACATTTGTGAATTAAATCTTATAGGTGTAAATGTGGCAGTCCTGCGGAATGTATCCGTAGAAGGTGATCTTTGGGCCGAACAGAGACTTGATCAGTTGATGGAGGCTCTCAGCACTGGAAAGGAGAAAAAAAGTGAAGAAAAAGCCACAATCCAAGTGGTGGATGAAGAAACAGACACATTTCACAGTAAGAGAACCGAAGAGCATGATATGAAGAAAACAGAAAGCGAGAAACAAACAAGAGGGCACAACACAGAAAGTGAATTAATAAAGAAGGAAGTCAAAGAAAAAGAGGATCAGCCAGGACAAAATTTGTCGGATGCATTCTTAGCCAAACCCGTCCTCATTGCATGGAATACCACCTATTTACAAGAAGTGGAGGGTGAGGAACATCTATCTCCAACAGTCAATCAATATACCACTCCTGCCATGGCCACTGCCTTCCAACCTGTCCTGCACTTGCTTAAAGAATCAGTTACTCTACTTCCATCATCCCCCTCCACATCTCAAAGACAAGCAACTGCTGAGACCTTGTCTATCATAAACAAAAATGCACTTTCGTCCAAAACTACAGTTCACATTGTAAATTCAACTGCTGAGGCAATGGAAACCACCTTACTAGTAAATGGAAGCAGCACGATTGATGACCTTAGAGTGGAACTCTACGTAACGAATGGCTCTAAACTTCAACCACTGGAGGAAGTGAGTGTTGATGTCACAGCAATGGCAGCGAGGGCAGGGCCCACTGCAAAGGCCCCTCCGAGTACTTTTTTGGCAAAACTCCCCAAAAAAGCAGGAGGTGCCAAACCTAAGGACAATACAACACTAAAAGCGAAGAAAAAAAAGGCAATCAAAAGAAAGGTGAAGAAAACACCCAAAGTTTTGAAAAAAGCAAAAAAGGCAAAAAAGTTCAAACGAGAGCGGAAATTGAAGCCAACAACACCTTCGTATTTTCCCTATTTTGAAGATCACTACTGTCCATCAGAATGTTCCTGCTATGGGAGGTATGTTTCTGCTACAGTAGGTCTTAAAACAACATGCTTAAAGCAACACTAAGTATGATTTTTTACCTTAAAATAATGTTTCCAAAATCGTTTCAGTGGTTCATCAAGTCGTAACCGGGCGAAAGGCACTTATGCCTCCGCTTTGCGGTCCTATAACCACGCTATGTAAGATTGGCAGATCATGTCGATGTTTCTGTAGTTCTAATAAGACATTAGCCTGGCTAACGCCAGACCACGTATCATTAGCCCCTTTTTCACCAAAGCATTTTGAGAGCTGGTGCCTTCACGCGAACCAGTTCTTTGTGTTACGACAGCCAAAGAACCAGTTCGCGGCCGTGAAAACGGGTTCCAAAGCGGCACCAACTCTTTGCTGGACTAGAACCGTTTTTTTTAGCACGTCATGCTTACGTCGGGGGCTGGGGCGGGTTTAGATGTGTTCTAAACATATTTTCTGACCATCGCAAAGCCAGGAGAAACTGTAGAAACACGCAAGTGTTTTTATTTTATTTTTTTTGTTTGAAACATAAGCAAAGAAGATAACTGTCACGATATAGAACAAATAAATGGAAAGAAAAAAGACACAAGACAGGGATACATAACTTATCAGAAAAGATTACAAATCAAACGAAAAGATTAAAAGACTTTTATATTTCAATTGTTTTTTAAAGTTTTCTTGGCACACGAGTTAGAGATAATCCCAAAGCGGTTTCTAGCGACGTACACAGTGACGTAACGACGTCGTTCCCTGGGCGCTCTAGTCAGTGGAAAAACAAACAGGTTCTGAACGGGTTCGCAAGTTGAACCAACTCCGAACCAACTTTGAACCAGCACCAGTTCCAAACCAGTTCTTTTTGGGTGGAAAAGTGGGTAATTGAGAATGAAACGTGGTCTGGAAACCACATGTTAAATTTCTCGCATTTGAGGCGTGGTTTACGAATGCCCAGAGCCGTATTATTGGGTGCTACGAATGTCTATCAAATGGGCCTGTACGTCTATCAAATGCGCCCGTGCTCCCTCCCTGTTCTGTGATTGGTTCCCTATTTCAGGGGAAAATGTGGTTCATGGCATCCAGACTGCCTAGCAGCGCCAATAAAATCGCGCTGCGGCAAGGCAGAATGAGGAAACCCATGAGACTAATGAGACATAAGAAAACTACAAATTTGACTTGCTTTACATCAAGCGTTACAATAGTCATTATTTTGTTTTTCTTCGTTTCTGATTTCGCAAAACATCATACTTCAATGAAATCATGCAACATACTCAACCTTGTCTGTGGACTTCGTTCATTCCAAAGCCGGTGCTGGATAAACAACGAGCGTGTGAGGGAGGCTAAATTATTTACGACAGCGGTAATGGACAATTCTGCTTCCAAACCTATTGGGCGACCGCAGAGGAAAAGTTACTTGGTGTTGCTTTAAGAATTTTCCTTATGCTACTGAGTACTGCTTCAATTTCTAAGCTTTAATTTGACATGTTCCATGACCTCTTGTTTTTCAGGGTTGTGCAGTGTTCCGACAAAGATTTGGGAAAAATACCATATGGAATTCCATACAACTCCCGTTACATCCTCTTAATGAACAACCACATCGATAGCATTCAGTTGAACTTGCTCTCCGAGTACAACTCCATGGAGTTCCTGGTGTTAAGCAACAACCGTTTAACAGATGCGTCGATCGAGGGTTCCTTCGAAGGGACCCAGGGCCTGAAGAGACTATACGTGGAGCGGAACCTTCTCCGAAGCATTCCCACTGACCTGCCAGTTACTCTCGAGGAACTACGGTTGGATGGGAACCAGATAAGTGTGATGTCTGATGCAGCCTTCGGACGCTGCCCAGGTCTTCTGATCCTCAGCCTGAGCAACAACAGCCTGGGGAACAAATCGTCTACCATCCCTCCGGGAGTTCTTCTTCCTTTGGGAAAACTGCGAACACTTACACTTTCCTACAACCAGCTTTCCTCTGTTCCGCTGCAGCTGCCCCTCAGTCTTCAAGAACTCTACCTCAGAGGCAACCGCATTCAAAGTCTTCAAGGCGACATGTTCTGGGGTGTGGCGGAGCTGCAGGTGCTGGATCTAAGTGCAAATAGATTGACCAATAAAGGACTTGGGAAAGCAGCACTACAGAATGCCAGTAACCTTGAGAGTTTAAATTTAGAGGGCAATTCTTTGAAGCAGGTTCCTCACAATCTACCCATGACCATAAAGACCCTCAACTTGGAAGGAAACTTAATTTCTAGCATAACTAAGGATGCTTTTATTTCAATGTCTCAGTTGGAGCACCTAGGACTAGCAAGAAACAAGATCACCAAGGTGGCCCTTGGTGCCTTCCGAGTTCTTCCACTTCTGCATCAGCTAGACATGAGTCACAACGCCTTACAACAGGTTCCACGGCAGCTCCCATTGTGGCTGCACTCTGCAACATTTGCGAACAACAAGATCCATGCAATTCCAAGTGATGCTTTCTGTTGGGGTCGAGGCAACGAGTCTCCCCTTAGCCGCCTGGTCAAGGTGCACCTGGAATATAACATGATAGATCTGGGCCACTTGAACACATTGGCATTCCGATGCCTCCGAGGCTTTCAGGTGGTTCAGTTTTACTAAACTAAACTGATTGGGAAGCACTTGGTTTTTCTTTCTTGTCTCGACTGAAATCCTTTAACAGAGCCAAGCGGCATCTGGTATGAAGGCATCCTTTATTTTTTGATAAAGACGAATGAAGAGTCTGAAATTTGCAATTAGTGATGTAGACTGTAAATGTCATATAGGGCACAAATTGTATCCAGGCACTGACCTTAAAAAATAGGATTGTGTAGTGTGTTGCTTTCTACAAATAAAGGGATGGGGACACGGTTTTGAGTCCAGTCTGAGTCACCATCCTTTCCTGATGTCCATTTCCTTATACCTTCCTGTTGTTGCGTCACTGATTTTATCAAATAAAATCCAAAAAAATTACCGAAATTTAATGTCTGTGTCTTGGGGGACTAGACTTCCACAAGATGCATTCATGTTTGCGACTGTTACATCACTGAAATGTGACTAGTTATTCAACACCAGAGACAACAAGGCTGTTTTGCTAGGACAAATCTCAAGACAGTTCTTTTAAAGGATAATTCCGGTATTTAACACCTTGAGTCTATTTTGTAGTTTGTTTTGAATGAAATAGAGTGGTGGACTTAGAAATTTTGACAATGGGTCCTGTCTCGACTTTTTGACTTTTTTAGAATCCCCTGTGACAGCGTTAGACTGGCTGTCTATGGGCATGCACAAACATGTCCTTAAAACAACCCTTAACGTTCATTTTCAAAACTGTGCAACTCACCGAGTGGTTGGTGGTGTTCGTTGATGTTCTGAAATAAGTAGCGTAGCGAAATACCGTTTCTGTCGTGTTTTATTTGTCATTTTTTAAAATCGCATTGATGTCTGCCGGAGGACTCAGTGCTCGTTGATATTACTGCGCTAGCTGCTAGCTACCGGAAAAGGAAAGGGGTCTGTTTACATTTGGTAGTCTTTTCGCTCGGTTCTCCGTTTCTCCGTCTCTCAGAAGGCTAGCGTGAGCAGAGCAAATGTGCTCCCGGACTTTTTTTACTGTGCGTTAGACACCGTGTTCCATACAGCGTCCTGGTTGTCGCCATCAAGTGGTCGGGAGTGTGCTAACGCTTCAGACTCAAATATCGTATCTGAATAAATAGTTCCACAATAGCAAACAACACGGATTGAAAGCATACATAGCGCCGATATATTTGTTTTTAATCATCAACGAACACCACCAACCACCCGGTGAGTTGCACAGTTTTGAAAATGAACGTTAAAGGATTAGTTCACTTTTGAAAAAACTTTTGCTGATAATTTACTCACCCCCATGTCATCCAAGATGTCCATGTCTTTCTTTCCTCAATCGAAAAGAAATTAAGGTTTTTGATGAAAACATTCCAGGATTTTTCTCCTTATAATGGACTTCAATGGGAACCAGGTCCAACCGAGGTCCAAACGACAGTTAAAACAGTTACAGATGCAGCTTCAAATGTCTTTAAACGACACCAGACGATGAATAAGGGTCTTATCATGCGAAACGATCGGTTATTTCAAAACTTATTCCAAAAATGTAACTTTTCTAAGGACAAATGCTAGCCTTGTAATATATTGTGAGGCGCGTTTGCAACGTCACGTAATACGTAATTACGTTCAAAAGGTCACGGGCGACGTAGCCAGAAGTACAGAGTCAGAGTGTTTACAAGTTGAACGCATAGGTTGAACGTGAAAACTAACTCAAACGCCGTTTACAAAAAAGGAATTAAAAGGTAAAACAACGATTTCAGACGATTTTGATTCTGTACTTCCGGCTACGTCGCCCGTGACCTTTTGAACGTAATTACGTATTACGTGACGTTGCAAACGCGCCTCACAGAATGGAGAAAGGCTAGCATTTGTCCTTAGAAAAGTTACATTTTTGGAATAAGTTTTGAAATAACCGATCGTTTCGCATGATAAGACCCTTATTCATCGTCTGGTGTCATTTAAAGACATTTGAAGCTGCATCTGAAACTGTTATTAACTGTCGTTTGGACCTCGGTTGGACCTGGTTCCCATTGAAGTCCATTATAAGGAGAAAAATCCTGGAATGTTTTCATCAAAAACCTTAATTTCTTTTCGACTGAGGAAAGAAAGACATGGACATCTTGGATGACATGGGGGTGAGTAAATTATTAGCAAAAGTTTTTTCAAAAGTGAACTAATCCTTTAAGGGTTGTTTTAAGGACATGTTTGTGCATGCCCATAGACAGCCAGTCTAACGCTGTCACAGGCGATTTAAAAAAAAGTCAAAAAGTCGAGACAGGACCCATTGTCAAAATTTCTAAGTCCACCACTCTATTTCATTCAAAACAAACTACAAAATAGACTCAAGGGGTTAAATACCGGAATTATCCTTTAAGATGATATTGATGTTTCATAATTGTATTACATAAAGTGTTTTACCTATTCAAATAAAACACCCAGTTTCTAACTTGGTAGTCTACTTTATCTCTCTCTCTCTCTTGCCAATGTTATATCAGCACTGAATTGCCTAAGTGGTTCTTCATGACCTTTCAAAGCTCAAGGGCACGCTGCAAAGATAAACTATTTGTTGCTTGCTTAATTTTTCTTGGAAAATGCGTGGCAGGGTTTGCTGCTTGGCTGTGGTTATTCTTTCCAGATCTGAATTGAAGAAAACACATTATTCCGAATTTGGCCAGGGTTAACTTGGCTGTTTCTTTCTTTCTCTCACACCGGACTTACACAGTCCATCTACACCAATGCATACAATATGCATGTGTGTGTTTAAGAAAGTAATCCACTGCAAACAAACATGTTTGGTTGAAAGTTGTTGAGTGTCCTCTTACTCCAGTTTATGCACACAGGATGATTCAGTATTAAGGACAATAGACACCTGTACTCGGTTGTATTCACCAATAGGTGGCAGAAGAGTACATTTTAAAAAAAAATGCTGCATAATACAAAACTTTGAACCATTTCCCCCTCCTAGTTATTCTAAAATGAATTGCAGTTCTATTCATATGTTCAATTAAAACATTTTATTTCTGTCTGCGGATTGTATACGGCTCTGCTCCCCTCCAAAATACGCATCAGCTAATGACTGTTCTTTAAAATTGAACATTTGCCCCCAAAATCTTGAATATTTGTGGACATTAATTTAACCTGATCTGTTAAAACAGATATTATATGCCTGGTCAAAGATATGACTAGGCTTTTGACACGCCGCTGCCAAAGTCTTGAGGTCTTTACTTTCAATTAAGTGAGACTTTTTAAGCAAACCATATGAGTGTGTGTAGTGGAGAATGAGTCAGGGAATACAAAGAGGAGGTTGAAGAGGGGGGTAGGGGGTGACAAAGTGAGAGAGAAATGAGATGGAAAGAAAGCAAATAGGAGCTTCATGTGTAGGGTTGGTGAATTCCATCTGTCTAATAATGCAGGAAAGCTACGTGGCACTGGGAGACAGCTGGAGAAAGAGAGAGAGAGGGAGAGAGAGAGAGGGAAAGAAGGAAGACAGAAAAAAAGAAGGATTTTAGGAAGGTGAAGGACTCTTCCAGAACCTCCCTACAGTCCAGCAGGACCCTGACCCCATATAATTTATTTTTCTGATACATTTTTAAATTTTACTGTTTTGCTTTTTACATGTTCAGTTGATTTTACTATAACCAGCCCAATGTGTGTGTTTTTTTTACTATTTCCAAAGATGAGGGTGGGTAAGCTGTGACACGTTTTTCTCAAGTTGTCCACTAAGCAAGGAAAAATGAAAAAGCATTCTCCTAATTATTTGTCAGGATGTCTTCTATGAACTAAAATGATAAAGAATCAGCTATAAGTAAAGGCTAGAAATATGACTTCTATAGTGACACAATTTACCAAAGTGGTAAGCTGAATTATTATGTAAATACAGTATATATGTAAAATACATTTATCAAAAATGACTAATACATCCCATTCCAAAATCACATTAGAAATAAAGCAACAATAATCCATTTTATCCACCTTGTACAAAAAGTCTTTTATACTTTTCACATGTGTATCTGTCAATCACAGGTAGTGATGATTTAGCAATCAACGTGGCACAATTTACCGCTGTTACTTCACACCCTACTTTCCCCTACACTTATTATTTGACATTTTTTATTAAAGAGGAATAGCCCCTTGAGATGAGCCATCTCGTTTTCGAGGGGGTCCTCGATTCTAGATTCAAATAATTACTTTTTTTTCCAGGAACATTTAATGATTTAACACAAATATTTCTTTAATTATCACTCTTCCTCCATATTTCCAGTTAACGCTTTGAATTGGTGAATGATTAGAGTGTGCGACTTGCATAAATTTAAATGTGAGCTAAGATGTTCAGGAACAAACATTATTCGAATCTGTCCTCAGACTCATCTTCAAATCTTGTGAACCCAACGACTGTTCCAGTGCCTGAAAATTCAGTTGCTTGAAGTAAACAGTTCAGCACAGTAAATTCAAAAGAAAAGGAAATTCTGAAAATAACGAGGATCACAATAACTACAAACGCTTTCCTGCTCTTTTAATGCTAATGCTAACATCTGTGATTCCAGTAGGTTTTAGTCTAGCCTGTGGCGTTTAATGAACAGAGGGCCTGAACTCAGAATGTCTGCAAACACAAAGCCAGGAAATGAAACCCCACCCTGGAAAAGGAAAGGGAATAAATGGATAAAGACAAAGCGTCTGTCCAGGTCAATAAACAGAAAATCAGGTCAGTACTGGTCACTAGAACCTGTTAGATGTGGGATGACATAGAACTACCGATCTTACTGTTCTTCTGTGGTGCTTCCAACATTATTTGGACTCTTGTTTGATACATATCTTGGGTTTGTCCTCATTATTTACGTCGCTTTAGATAAAATGTCTGCTACAATCAGATCAATGTTTTGATTGAAGTAACGAGTAAAATATCACAAGTGTGCATTTATACTTTAACCGCTGGATAAAACTCGACTGTAAATTTTATTAATCACTTTATCTAATCTAATCACTTGAAGAGCAAAAGACAACATGATACAAAATGGCTTCCCACACATAAATCTGCTCACTTCATTTCTAGTATGACTTTACAAATTTGTTGTGTGGCCCTTGAGATTAATGGCCACTATACAATCTAAAGCTGAGTGCTATTACTGCAGCCGAAGTGAGGTGGCGCTTGAGTCAGTGGAGAGGAGAAGGAGAGAGAGAGAGAGAAATGGGCGGGAGGTGACTGAGCAAGAGAGTAAGAGTCAAAGACAGAACCATGGGAGCCAGACGGACCTCTATACACTCACACCCACTTGTACATATGGACACATGTATGTTTGCACTTACAGCCTCCCGATCTCTCTCTCACCATCACCTTTTCTCTTTTTCTCAACCCTCATGTTGAGACAAACACTTTGGACACAACGTGTCTGCGATCCGGCAAATGGAAAGTCTCTCATTTAAACATACAGGCTCCCCAAGAGGGCCACTGTGTTTACTATTTTTTAGATTAGCAGTTCATACAATATATACATATGAGTTTTAATGAAGCAGTTTTCTCAGTCGTGGAAAGCTCCATGCTGGAGTACTGCATGTGGTCAAGCCACGCCTCCTCTCTTGTGCACAGTGTCTGTGTGTGTATGATACAGGATTGGCTCATCTCAGGTTATTTAAAATAATAAACAAAAAAACATTAGAAGACCTTTTATTTGTAGCTTGGTTATTATTATTAGCTGCGTTAAACTGGTAATATGTAATTGTATACGTAAACTTATATTATCAATTTCACACAAAGAGCAAAATAGATATTTTCCAGCCTTTGAAACATTCACTGAGTGACGTAAACAAGGTTAACAGCCATTAACAGTGGTATTATAGGGTCAGACTGCCAGTCTGAAAGGTCAAAGGTCAGTATGCTTGTTTTACACCCTGCCTGGTTTTATCAATACATGTTGCCTGTGAGGTCGGATTACAAGACCCTTGAGCATTCAGGTGTCCTCTTTCGGGTCTTTATGAGAATTCCACGTTTCTACACTGTATTTCCAAAGCGTTTTACTAGTAAAGGATGCCATTGTGAAGAAGAAAAAGAAAGAAAACCAAGAAAATGTACTTTTTATTTAAAAACTGATCAGGACAGGGGTTTGTCTCACCATATTTGTCTTGTTTTCTTTGTCCCATCCTTTTTTTATATATATATATATATAAATATATAATAAATATAATAAATATATAATAAATATATCACCTTTGTAAAACCTGATGAGTTACAGTAGTTCAACTCAAACCGTATGAGGAAACCGATTGCCTTAAGTCATTTAAGTTTATTAACTCACACAATTTAAGCATAACTTGGGTAAATAAAGTTAATAGTACTAATTAGTTACTATAACTTAAATATATGAAGTACACTGTAAACCCGAATAAGTTGGCAGAACTCAAATCACTTTTAATAGTATAAACTTAGCTTTAAAAGCTAATCTGCTGACGTAGTAATCATCAAATTCTTCTAAATTAGCATAACAAAACATTAATCACTAAATCTCACACTTAACATTATTCTTACAAAAAAAAAACATTATATTGCACTTAATTTTAGCATTTACACTCTCTTTCGAGTGCCATCGGCAAAGCATGCTAGGAAATAGTATCCCAGCCATTTCAAGTTCGTGTAAATTAAAATAAATAATTTCATCAAACTCAAAACAATGAAAATTCTGTGAACTTGAAAGAAAAAGAAAGTGCTAAATACTTTGTTGAATTTAAGTTTGTCCTACTCAAACCAATTAATTATTTTGACCGTTAGGGTTTACAGTGAGTCATACAGAGACCTTTTAACATGCAACACTGCTCGCTAGGTAAGAATCACTTTTAGTTATTTTTGTAGTATTACACTTTGAAACATGATGTGTCATGGACCATGACACACACCAAGGTGTGTTTTTACTTTTTTAATTGATCAACTTACAGTTTTTCCTTGACATAGTCAAATTTTGATACCCAAAACTTCATAGCAACATATCTCTCTCCCTTTTTGTTGTTGTTGTTGTTGCTCTGTGCTCTGTTCATTAAAAAGATGTTGTAGAACAGAATGTTACTCTTTGAGTAGACATTACCTAAGCACTAAAGTTTACGCATGTCCTCCCAATTTTCTGTAATTTCTTCCTTTTAATGCTGTCTTGTGTACGTCACTGGGAATTAGGACGGTGGCTTCATTAGCTGAGGGCGAAATGCTTGTGAAAACGCTCAGATGGTCTGGCGTTTGCCACTAGGAAGTTGATGCGTTCATGACGCAGCTTTTTCTAGGCCTGTAGACTTTCAGTAATGTGATCTCCAGCTGTGGCAGACCAGTTTGTAAACTTTACTGTGCTGTTTGCTTGCAAGGAGGTTTACCGCACTGCACTGCACATCTAGTGATTCATATCACTCTTCACAACATTCAGCTTTTAAAACTATAACATTATAAAGACGAAGCCAAGAAATCAGAGACTTCGTAAACTTCGATTCATCAGCAATGAACACTTATTAATGGTGCATCTAAAAGTGTATTACAAGTCATACATGTCTGTTTGGGCAAGTACCAGGCCTTCAGAAGAAACTAGGATGTGATCTTGGAGATAATTATTGTTTAATGTGTTTCCTGCATCTCACTGAGGCAGCCTGGAGGGATCTTTAATAATTGTGTGTGTGTGTGTGTGTGTGTGTGTGTGTCAAGTCATGTTATTCACACAGGCTTTGATATACCATCTGGCATTTAATGGTGATTTTAGCAGGCTCATTTTTATTTAGCTTTCAGACCTCTCATTATCTTGTTTGTTCAAATGTTCAATAATGCATTTTTTTTAAATGTTATTGAAAGAAATCTCTTATGGTCAACAAGGCCACATTTATTTGATCAAAATGCAGTAAAGATTAAAACTTAAATTAAAAATTAAAAAACTTAAATTAAATTTAAGTAAAACTTAAATAAAACTTAAACTTAAAATATATTTTATATATATATATATATATATATATGATATATATTAAATTTTAATAATAATAATTATATATATATATATATATATATATATATATATATATATATAATTATTATTCAAATTTAATTAATGTAATATATTTTAAAATGTAATTTATTCCTGTGATGTCAAAGCTGAATTTTCATCATCATTTCTCCAGTGTCACATGCTCTTTCAGAAATCATTCTAATATGCTGATTTGGCACTCAAGAAACATTTCTTATTGTTATCATTGTTTAAAACAGTTGTGTTGCCTAATATTTTTGTGGAAACCATGGATTTTTTATCAGGATCTTTGAATAAACAGAGTTGATTTGAATCAACATAAATGTATTTACTATCACTTTTGATCAATTCATGCAATCTGCGCTTAATCAAACTATTAATTTCTTAAAAAAATAAATAAATCAAACATAAACCCCAATGTTAAAGTGCTAAGTGCTGGGTAAGCATGCAGTTTGAAACAGACCGTATGCTTGAGCTTCCCCATTGTGGACAGGAAGCCACATCTGTTTACCGTTATCACTCATTAAGATCATATAAACATGAAGCTGATCAGTTCATGGATCAAGTGTCTGTATATTAAGACATGTCGAGTTGAACCTTTCTTCAATACATGTTTGAATACTAAACGCACGTTAATTTAATCCCTATTTAGGCTGCAGCCTTAATTAGAAATTGTATTAATCAATATTTTTGCGTTGAAAAAAACGCTCTTACAACAAGATAAATTTACACGCAATCACATAAAATATGACGATTTTTCAAACAAGACCCAATTTTGATTACAATGTGATTTTTCTTTTTGCAGCACAGCACAGTTGCTCAGATGGAGAAATGAACAGAAGCAGATGTGTTGTGTGTCGATATGAGATCAGCCTCAGGAAACAGAGCCAAGCGGAGATGAGATGAAAGGCAGAAGTGCGCTTAGGTAAGCAGACACTCTGTCATGCCAGACACGCCGCTGGATTTGTAGTGGGTAAGCAGAGTTCACACTGATCAGTTGAGATGCGAGTTACACAAAATGAATGAGCTGGGACACATGAGAGAACACGGTCTCAAATATATGCAGATTAAAACTAATTCATCGTGATGTAGGACAGAAACAGCAGATCTATATCCATCAGTAAGCAACTTAATACATACATACACAAAACATGGGGTGCAAACAATTTTCACATATTTTGCTATTTCACACATTATTAGAAACAGCATTTGACACATTTAATTTAACATGACATTTTGAAGTACAGTAGATAGGGTAAGGGTACTCACATTGGATCTTGCGAATACCAAAAAAAGTTATTAGTTTTGCAGATATGTTACTCAGACATCATTTATAGACCTTATTCAGAGCAGCGCCATGACAGGTATGAAAGCAAGGCTGTGAAGGCTTTTGCTATGTTTGCACCTCCTGTCCAGACTAAAATGGGAAAAACGAAGACCTAAAACGGAGAAGTTTAGAAACACTGCCGCTCCGTTTTTCATTTTGAATCTCCGGAGGGCGTTTTAGTGTGGACGAGACAAAACGGTGGAGTTTAGAAAGGCTCACGCTCGGCTCTATGATTGGTTGTCATCAGTCATGACGTATCCTTCCCTGATTCGCCAACCACTCTTTACACCGGCACGTGCATGCCCAGTGTTGGTGAATGGTCACGTGATCCGCGTTTTCAGTCGTTTTAATGTGCACAGAGATCATTTCTAATACGCAGATAAAACGCTGGTGTGGACGGAGATCGTATTCGTTTTAATTCTCCGTTTTTAAACGAAAACGCAGTAGTGTGGACGGGCGACGCATAAAAACTGTTCGACGGCCGACCGTCGGCTTGGTGTGTTCCGGGCTTAAGGCTGCTTTTGATAATTCTTTTGTTTAGGGATTCAAAGTGACCCCTTGAAAACCACTCTTAAATCGTTGTGGCGAGTTTTGCATGGTGAAAAACATTTAAAAATGTGATAATCCAGCTTTATTAGCGGTAGGATTCATCTCTGCTTCTCAGGCTCTCTCTCACTCTTTTTTTTGTCACACTCAGTGTAAGTATGGATAACTCATTCTCTCCGAAACTCTTTAGTGGCAGCAGAAAGCAAGCCACAGGCACTTGATCTCAGTTATGAAAATGTGAAACATTCAGCCCAGAATATATGCAAACTGTAGTGCAAACACAAATAGGTCCAAGAGAAACAGACTGGGCTGCTTTTATATTCACTGGAGGATGATGGGAAATGGGCATGTGAGAGGATTCACAGTGACATCAGGATTTCATTCATCCCAGATAGACTTTGTTCACCAAAGGCAGATGTGTGGGTGACAGCAATGTAGGAGTGTGCGACATTGACAAAAAATGATATCCTGCTGTTTTCTGGGAATTTGTTGATAACGATAATTAGACAATATTTTGTTTTGTGCTGTTATCTTGACTGGTTAAGGCCTATCATTGACAGCTGACTCCCAAAGCCTTTCATATTCTGACAGAAATTTACTTTTTCATTCCATTTACGGATTTTCAGAAGCATTTTTTTTTATTTATTTTTTTACCATTTACCAGGCTGTTAATGCTTATGAAATCAAACAATACCAAGAAAAATCAATTAAACAAAATCCATTTTTACTCTGCTTATGGGGTTTGCTATTGATTTCAATTGAGCATGTTGCTAAGCTAACAAGCAAACTCTAATAAGCATGACAAAAACTTTACCCAACACACAAAAGTTGACGCGAAATTGAGTTAAGTTTGCATTTTGCCAAGTTAACAACAAAATACAACAATAACAACAACTTTTGGAATGGATTTTGAAGCCTAAAAATGCTCCCTCAATAGGTAGCTCACTAGACACTGGAGCAAAACAATATTCAAATGTATTTTGGACAGAAACTGAATGGAGAAATATACGAAACTGTCCCATTATATTCTCTCTCTAGATAAAAACAGGCATGGTGATGGCCAGGCGCCTATGCCTGACATACAAAGAAAGGGTTTCGTCTGGCAGTCAGTGTTACTAGGCATTCTGGGCAACGGTCATAAAGAGAAGCTGAAAGCTCCACATTTGCTCCATTCAGAACAGAGTGGAGAAAGATGGCTGACCTTCTATTCAGCCAAACTTCCTGTCAGTCATTCGACTGCCTAACGATGCACTTAGAAGCATGCCAGCCATAATGCTGGGTGGAGAATTACTCCCATAATCTTGTTGAAATGTTGTTGTTTTTTTGTACAACTTAGATATTGGTGCAATTTTTGCCTTTAAATTTTTGCTTTGTGAAACTGCTAGTTTAGATTATCTGAACTGGTGTGATAAGGCCTGCATATTGGAAAGACCAGGGAAGGATTAAAAAAAAAAAAAAAAAAACAATAATGGTTCAAGATGTCTGGGGCAGAGCAGTGGGGTTCGACCATTTATTCAAACTTTAGACAGGAGAGCTGAGCCAAGGCCTCGATAAAATCAACAGGATCGCAGAGGTCTGGGAATAATAAGCTAATGGGAAAGTGTATTCACGGCAAACACGAAGAGAAAAAGCAACAACATGACAAGCAATCACTTTAAAAAACAGTATCTGGAGAAACACCGTTACATGAAGGAAATACAGTACTTACTTGTGTTTTCTAATGGCATGATTAACTTTGCATCAAGCCAGAAGAAGCATCATGCTTTCTTCTGTTTTTCGGTGTGTGGACTCTAGACTGAATCTTTTTTTCCCCTCATCCCGCCCTTTCCTGACCAGCCAGACTCCAAATCTCCCCTGAATTTGTGCATTCCTCCGGTATTGCCTAATACATTTTCTTGTCAGGGTGTGAGTGCATAGTATTGTGGACTAGAGTTTGTGTGTATTGGATGTTGTTTGGGGTGTGGGCGTGTTTTTGTGTCGTTTGTGTGCGTTCAGGGTGGAAGCATCTGTTTATGTTGTTATCACTGACATTTTTTCGGTGATGCACTGCAGACGTTTGGCTCTCTTGGGTTTCTTTAAAACTTCCATCTTTCAGCTGTAGAGGAGAAAAGGCTTGCTTGTTTTTACTGTATTTTACTGATACAAACTATGAATGCGTTAGCTGGTGCTGATCACTGTTGTATTTAGCTGTTGTCCTTAATACAAGATCAATTTAATTGAGATGCAACATTATATTAAAGGAGTGGTTCACTTTAAAAAAAAAAAACTTTTGCTGATAATTTACTCACCCCCATGTCATCCAAGATGTCCATGTCTTTCTTTCTTCAGTTGAAAAGAAATGAAGGTTTTTGATGAAAACATTCCAGGATTTTCTCCGTATAATGGACTTCAATGGGAACCAAACGGTTCAAGGTCCAAATGAGAATTTCAGTGCAGCTTCAAAGGGCTTTAAACGACATCAGACGATGACTAAGGGGCTTATCTAGCAAAATGATCGGCCATTTAAAAAATAAATAAAACAGTTTCCTTGCTCTTCTGTGATGAGCGTTCGTACTCTCCTGTTCGAACTCGTTCATCAAAATGAACGAATCTTTTTTCGAGTCATGACTCGAAGGGTCCTAGGTAAGACCCTTATTCATCGTCTGGTGTCGTTTAAAGCCCTTTGAAGCTGCACTGAAACTCTCATTTGGACCTTGAACCGTTTGGTTCCCATTGAAGTCCATTATATGGAGAAAAATCTGGAATGTTTTCATCAAAAACCTTAATTTCCTTTCGACTAAAGAAAGAAAGACATGGACATCTTGGATGACATGGGGGTGAGTAAATTATCATCAGCAATTTTTTTTTAAAGTGAACTTATCCTTTTATATAATACAATATATATATATATGTGTGTGTGTGTGTGTTTTCAGATATATGCTTGGTTTCCATGTTTTATGGGGATTTTCCATAGACATTATGTTTTTTTATACAATATAAACTGTATATTCTATCACTACACTAACCTTACCCCTAAACCTACCCATCACAGAAAACTTTCTACATTTTTGCATTTTCAAAAAACATCACTTAGTGTGATTTATAAACTGTTTCCTCATGAGACCAAAAAATGTCCCCACAAAGACAAGGATTTCTGGTATTTACATCCTTGCGGGGACTTGGGACGTCTTTTGACCATACGTCAACATCCGCCTTTTTAGGGTACCCTTAAACGTCGGTTAGATGACGTTATCGAATCCTAACTCTACCCCAGACCTAAACCACACCTAAACCTACCCCGTCACCTAACCGACGTTAAAGGTAAAGCGTCAGTTGTATGACAGCCCGGGATCGTCAACTAACCGACGTTTAAGGGTACCCTAAAAAGGCGGATGTTGACGTACGGTTAAAAGACGTCCCAAGACGTCAGTTATATGACGACTTGGGATGAGACTGTGTTATTTTGACCCCATAACGTACAGTTTACCCGAACCACACACACATTCCATACTACGCTTGCAAGTTCGACGAGACTGGTAAAGACATCACATTTTACTGTCTGTCAGGATTTTTCCATAGAATTTTTTCTCACAAATGCACTCAAAAACAAACTCACACTTATGATTCTGTTTTTCTCAGAAAACATATTTGAGCCTATTAGTTTGGTTCATTTGATTTTCTCACACACTTAAAACATCTAGATGACAATCACCCCATGCGGATCCAGCCAACCTCATACGCATCATATATCTTTTGCAACTGAACACAAAATTACACGATAAAATCAATTCAAGCATTTTTAAAAACAAACAAAAAATAAAAAAAGAAGTTGAAAGTGACATTAGACAGGCTGTTTTAATCTGTGCTCAAATCCAACAAAAGACCATTTCTGCTTTTTTAAATTAATATTTCACATAATTCATTCATTTATTCATGAAGAAAGGCTATAGTAAAACCATATGTACATTAAAAAAAAAAGATTCCTGGGGTGGAAAATCCTAACACTCCAGTTTAAAAGTTAAAAGGCATTGCAACAAATGCAAAGTCTCACATCATTACCATTTAAAAAAAAAATCTGATTTGATTTGTTATTGCTTTGTAAAGGTTTATTATGCGTTTTGTTTTCTTGTATGGTCTCGCATCTACAAGGATTTCTTCAGGTCTCTGGGTTCCTTTAGTTAGGGACTGTTGGATTTATGAGCAGGTTTGTGTGGGGTTCTGTTGGGTTTTGCCTGGTTTGACATGGGTTTTATGGCTTTTTTGGGCTCTTATGACTAAAATGCCACTGCCAGCAGTAAAAAGCTGCTTGGTGTCTGATAGAAGCTATAAATCAAATCCAGACTGAACCAGAGAAACTGACACTGGATCAGCCCACTTGAAGAAAAGCAGTCTGACTCGGCCACCAACATACCAGATTTTAAATAATTAATTGCATGAAATTGTAGTTTAATAACTGAGGATAAAATTTAGTGGTTTGTTAAATTGGTAATTGAGTTACGTAAAAAGCAATGCGGTCTGTCATCTGTCACATCTTGGCCCTCTTGAATTTCAGTACGACAAATACGCTTACAAAAGATGCCTATAGGAGATTACACACATCCTGGAACACACAGTTTCATTGTAAAATCAAATTGTACTGTGTTTGGAAAGTCTTGCTAATAAATGTAAAGATGTGAATGCTTGCTAAATATGCTACACATACAGGCGGGGATATAATCATACAAATAATAACAACAAAAATCTAAAAGAAAGTGTGTAGACAGGAGGTACTGTAAGAGGACATTCCTTACCACCCATACTTCCACAGCTGTGTTTTGTCTTAAGGCCTTGATTTCAGATGTGAGGTCTGTGTTGTTCTCTTTAGTGATTGTGGTCGGTGATACAGGGATTAGATTAGAGGAGCTTTTAATGACAGCCTTCATTCGTTTCACAAAACCAGACAAAAAAAAAAGATTCGCATATAAATCATTGAACAAAACATAGCCTTAAACTCACAAATATTTCAGCTGTGGCGTTTAACGCAGTCACTCCTACTCGCCACTTTGGCAGATTGAATTTCATATATAATATATACATTTTTCAATTGTAGTCTTTAAAAAAAGACATCTGAAACAATAAACTAAGTTCAATAGTGTTCAAAAATAATGATTTTTCTATTCAAAATGATACTTAAATATCTTAAATACTTACTAATTTTTCGCAGAATAGACAGCGAGTTGACACACAAACCCGCCTGCCACCCTCCCTCACTCACACATTTCATTTTCGCCTCTCATTACTAAATGAAGTTTTTTTTCACTGCTTATTGTGCTTAAACTGTCACATACACACAAAATAATGTCAAAATGCCGGTCTTGATGAGTATTCATGTTTGTTTTAAGTTAACGTGAGCAGTTGAGAAAGAAAATGCGGTAACACTTTACAATACGGGTGCACTAATATACATTAATTCATAACTAATGCACAGATAATATTGACTTAATACTGTATATAAGTCATGAAGAACTAAACCATTAATTAATGATTACTGCATCAGCAACTAATAAAGAGTCTATATGATTAATAGATTAAGTATTACATGAATTGCTATTAATTCAATGTGTCATTGTGTATTAATTCCTTAATGACATATTTTATTAACTAATAGTGTAAATGAATGTGTTAATTACCACAATTAGTCAAAGCTATGCACTTCAAACTTCCAGTTGTCTGCTTTAATTAATCATTAGCTAATGATTTGCAAAGGTATCATTATGTTATGACTTTACTTGTTGGGGCACATCATTATTAACTAGTCATTTAGTAATTGTAGTATTTTGGACATGAAATTGCACTAACAGTGAAGTAATTAATCATGAATTAATGCATTTTAGTGTACCTGTCATATTATCTGGAAGTTGAAATACAAGGCTTTGGCTCATTCTGGTAATTAACATATTAATTAACACTATTAATTAAAAAAATTGTTATTATGGAATTAATCATATTTAATTAATAACAATTCATGTATGAACTAATACATTAAACATACAGACTCTTAATTAGTTCCTAATGTGGTAATCATTACGAAAAGCTTACATAATCATTAGTTACACATTAATTCAGTATTATCTGTGCATTAGTTAAGCAATAGTGCACCCGTATTGTAAAGTGTTACCAAAAATGCATGTGTGACAGTATAATAGTTCTGTGTGTCAGATCTTAAAGTGACATATGCCTAATATACCTGCTGCCACATTATGAGATAATATTAAAAATCTCTATATGGTAGTTATTTTCCCATGGTATCAATGTCAAAACTGTTGCCAGTAAAAATGCTTTGTGGTTAGTAATTTTGAAAAAAAATAGCCAAAGTGTCTGGTGAGTAGAAAGGTTAATATCAAATATTTTCATATACACTTTTATAATACTTTTTCTAATGAAACACGACAAAAGGTGGCTTCTCAAAGACATCCCAGAACACATAATTAGTACTATTTCATAGATTTGATTTGATTGAATATCTCTCAAAATGTGGAAGGAAGTTGTTTGTGTTCATATAGAACACTCTTACAATGTTTTGGGTGGGTTGCAATAAGTTCTTGTTGCATTAGTGACACTTTAAAACAATTCATTCAGTTGAATGAAGATGCATATTTCTGACAATATAACATACATGATGAGGAGAAACAGGAGGAACTTTAACATTCATAAATGAGTAAAAACAACAAAAAGAGTAATGTGTTTCTCATCCGTGCAGCTGAACTTTAAAGCAAGACTTTCCATTGAGTGCTCTTAACTAATGACATTGTATTGTTTATTGTACTATAGTGGTTTATTCAATGATTGGATTGGGAACACTGCTGGGAAATTGCTGGGCGTGCAGGATTTAAGGAACAGAGATGGCCACACACACATGCTTCACAACATACTTTGCACAAGATCATGTCTCACACTTGTAAATTATCTTTACACTTTTCATTGTAGTTTAACACCCTTGTAAATGTAATTCACCCCATAGTCTATTGAATGTTGATATCTTTTGTCTTTTTGTTATGTTTTTCTTTTTTCTCTTGCTCCTCATCTAGTCCCACAGCTGTTCATTGGTCCCAGAAGCAGAAGAGGTTCAGGTTTCTCTTCTCTTCTCCGCCGTGGTTTGGTCAGCGCTCTGCCTGCAGGTTCTGATGATTTTAACAGACTCTGACCTCCCTTTTCAGATGCATTCATCACGCCTCTCGTCTGGTCTGCAGATCGGTATAAATGCCAAGCATAAGGCAGACAGAGCTGCTTCAATCTTGCCACTCTTTACTTGAACCAGTTCTGAGATTGAATCCAGATTGCTTGCAAAAAGTTGAGTCATCGGTCCTGATTCCACTTTGCATTGTGTAACTAACCTCTGAATGACGTGGGATCTCACACAACTTTCTTTTATAACAATGATTCAAAGCTTTTGTCAGGTCAGGATGTCTACAGGAAATTTTAATGGGAGTACATGGTTTTCACAGGCCCGATTTATGGGTAGCTGACGTGAAATATTCTTTGGAAAGATTGCATGTCCTGCAGTGCGACATGCTATACGGCATGTACAACTATTTCAGATGCTTGATTTAATACTTTATATCATATATATGTGTGTGTGTGTGTGTGTGTGCCTTTTCCCCTTTGGTCTTAAAGCCCAGCATAGCCAATAACTTCCTCTCTTCCTTTTGACTTTTAGTGTAATAGTTTCCACATTAGGGTTTATAGCTTGCGTGTGTATGCAGACATGCAGCCAAACAGCCATTGACACCAGCAGGGACCCTTGTGTCAACTATCCTTTAGAGAGTACTGGTGGTGTTAAAGATAATCTCATACATCATCTGTAACCTGCTTTGATCCCATTGGTTAATTATGGAATGGACTGCACAGAAAAAGAAATCAGATTTGCTGAAGGGAAAAATAAATTTCACTCATTCATTCATTCATTTGCCAGCAAAAACATCCCATCAGTCAATATATTTAGCATCATTAAGTGCAGTGGTTCTCAAGTGAGAAGTCGTGACCCAAATTGTTTGTAGAAGAAAAAAAAATCATAGTTTTTGTTGTCAATGTCAAAGACGTCAAACTTTCGATGCAAATTCATGTGTCACTTGGTAGAAGCTCTACAAATTAAGCAAATGCAATATGATCAGGTTGCGTGACAAGTCCCCATTCTTGAAAACCAAGAACAAAACTACTCAAGGTAAAAGAAAAGAAAATCCAAACTATATTAAATACAGATTCAAGTGCGGTGAGCCAGGGAGAGGAAAAGAGCGAGAATGTGAAGCGGGTAAATAGTAGGGTGTGGGTCACACAAAAGTGTCTTGAGTTTTATGTGGACATTTGGCCTCAGGTTTACTGGCCAGATCCTCTGACTCTGAGCTCAGCCCAAGGCAGATGGCCGAAGGGGGTGATGAACAGGTCATCATCTGCATCCTCCACTGATCTGACGCCACATCACACTCTCCAGCTTTCCGATAAACTAGCACACAGTGTCACCAAAGCTCCACTTGTCCCTATTACAGCTGACAAATAGCTCAAGTCAGAAGAAATTATTACTTTTTCAGCACCGAAAAAGTCAGAAACAGTCTGGTCCAAACTCAATTAGTTGATTTTAGACCTTTTTAGGGGTCTTGATGAGCTATCCGACTAACTATTGTTTACATATTGAATAAAAAAAATATATATATTACATGAGCGACAACAACCATTGGCAATTGACATTGATAATGGTCATATTATTGGATCAATTAATTAATCATTATATAAAGTATCAACCCGATCTCACAGCAATTCGTACAAATTTTACGAGGTGGCTAATTCGTAACAATTCGTACGACCTCACTCCTCAAATTTTGCTAAATCGTACATATTTTACGAGTTGGCCAATTTGTATGAATGACCTACCCCTGACCCCGCCCCTAAACCTACCCATCACGTGGGTTCAGACAAATCGTACGAGTGAGGTCGTATGAATTAGTACGAATTGGCCACTTTTTAATCACTGGTCGTGAGATAGCTTTGGAAGTATTCTAAACTGATGCATGTTATATAACATATTCTCGTCCAAAATGTACATTTTTTACCAGCGGAAAAACCTGATTCTTTGTCACAATTAATTGACGTTATGCAAATGCATATTTCTTTGCACAATGTTGGAAATGTTGTCATTAATAAATGCATAAAATTTCCATATTTCCTTATTCCTTCTTTTTCTTTTCAGTCACATATATCGTGATATATCATTGATGAAATTTCTTCCAATATATTGAATATCGTAGATATCGCGAATTGAATTGAATACCAGAATTGAATACCTGTATCGTCCCACCCCTAACGTTATATCTCATTTGTGATCATATCTTCATACCCTTTTCAAATGGCCAGTAATGCAGGGCATCCAATGGTGTGATACAATCACTGTCAGTGTGAATGAAGCTTGAGACTGAAATCCTAATCAGCCCTTTCTAAACGTACAGCTTATCTTTCCCGTCTCCTGAAAATGTGCCAGAAAAGCTCAAAAGCTGATTTTGGAGAATTGACTCATACCAATTCGACAGGAAAAAGAGAGAAAGTCAGGCAAGTGTAGAATAACCGAACTAAAGAAAGACACAGAGAGAAGAAAAACTGGGTCTTGATTTCAGTAACTAGCTGAACTCAAGCCAACTCCTCCTCCATTCTGGGTTCCTCCATTTGCACATTCAATGCTCTTCCATGCCTGTTACTCAGTACAAATAAACAAGCTTAATAAGGATTTGGAAATGCTGTATGTGTGTGTGTGTGGTTGAGGTTACAGGTCACCGAAAAAGTTTCTTGTTTCAAAAGAAACAAAAGTTTGGTGGATGGAAAGGAGGGGAATGTTTCCACCACGCAGCGTGAAGTCCAACGAAAGGGGAGACGCTTTTGTTGTATCCAGAACTCCCTATCTTTACCAGATGACACAGAATGGGAGCCCGCCAATGCCTGTATAGTCCCAGCCTCTCGTCTCCAAACTTTTTTTTCCCCTCGTTCCAACTGCTTTTGGATCGTTCCAGGACGGGGGGAAGTTCTTCTCCAATTGTCTCATGTGAAAGGGACGAAGAAATCAACCCCTCCCTCTCTCCTGTTCTTCCCTCCCTTCCCTCGTCCTCTCTCTCTCCCTCTCTGTCCTTCTCTCCACCCCCTCCCCCCTGACAGAGCACACCTGCCTGATCTTGGCTGCAGGCGTCCACACAAAGATCTGCCCTCGGCCTGCCGCGCTGCACATCGGCTCCAGCCCTCTCTGGATTTGCGGATCTTCGTCTACGCGCTCCTGCACGTACAGGTAAGATCAGGCTTTCCTGCTAACTCCGCTGACTGCTGAAAAGTTGGGATTGTGATTAAGAGAGCAGATCGACCGTCTCAAAGAGAGGTTGACGGTTTGCACTGATGAAATGTGGGGATAACCCCTTGGGAATCTGCGGTTTGGTGGTTTCTGCAGATCATTAAAGGTTGGTGCAGAAATGAGGCTGTTTGCTTGAAGCTTTTAAGGGAAGTTTTGATTCATTCTGCCACATTCTAGATTTAATCATTCAGATATAGTGCAATTGAGAGATGATTCGAAAAATACCTTTCTTTTGAAGCTCCCTGTGTATTTGTACCTTGTCAATACATATGGATGGTTTGCATGTGCATTAAGGTCATGTTTGCATTCGGATGAAAAAAACTTCATCATCTGAAGTTGAAGCCAGAAAAGTGTGTGTTCATGCAAATTGATTGCCGATTTGTTGTTCAGTTTGAGAGGACAGGACATTTTCCGTCTCTTCCAAATTGCGACAAGTATCCCTGCTCTGTAAAACCTCTCACACACTCACTGTTGTGAAAAAGCCATTAACTTTTCGAGTGCCCTAACTCTCACTGCTTCGTCCTGACTTTTCCATCCCAGTTTTTCTTCCTTTTGTGCACCACTTGGCATTTAGAGAGAGTTCATGTAAGGCCTGAAAACACTAGAGGATTTCTAACACCGGTCTCCTCGGATAGACCTGTCTGGAGAGATGTTTTGTCCTCTGGCCTCGCTCTGCGCCTGCTTGCCTCCACTCGCTCAAAGTCGCATCCTAAACTCTTTATTCATGGCGTGGAAGCCAAGTGCCTTGAGCCATATCGGCTGAAGGATGAAAGCGCTCTGAAGGAGAAAAGCGAGAGCGTGGGACTGGTGTCTCATTAATCCTTTAATAATATAGCTTCCTTCCAATCGTGGGGAAGTTTGACAAGGCACTTCCTGGTAATCCCACCACAAAATTCCCAGCTAACTCAAAACATTCGGAGGGGGGAGACGGGAGAGGAAGAGGTAGCCGAAGGTTTAGACGCATTCAATGTGCGTAAATTGTGAGCTTGAGATGACACTTTGTCTAAACTATCAATTCGTGGGTGCCTAATAATGAAATACTTTATTTGTCTTTTGTTGGGGTTAGGGATTGGGGCTATGTTTAGATTTTTCATTAATTGTGAACAGAACCCACATAGCCTACACAGTTTGTACCAAGACAGGAAACCCTCTCTTCCTCCCTTCAAAGACAACATCCTCAGGCCATGCAATAAGTACTCTCTGGAAGCCAAAGGTCTCCATTTGATTCAAACTATGTGATGTTAGAAAGGTAGAGTCAATAAATGGTATCCATGCTGGTCATTGTCTGCTTTTCCCCTCTTTATTTGACTTTTAACCCTTTCAGGAAATGGGAGCTTTGGACCAAAGTCAAGGCAGTTGCGTATGACAGATGGAAAGAGGAAGTGAGAGGATGAATGCTTGAATGTCAGAGAGTGGGATTGACTAAATTTGTTGTCTTGGATCAAGGACATTTCAGTCATGGTCATTTTTCATTCATTTTCTTATTTGGAAAAGGATCAGACATCCCTCAGCATATAATTGCTTATTCGATATCTGAAGGACTTTTTGTGGCTTTCGAGGTAGGTTCTTTTGAAGAAAAACCTTTTTTGATGGGTTTAACCACGGTTTTGATCTGTGAGAAAGTCTAATTGTGCTCTGGCAGTGGCTTTGGAGTTTGGTTTTGTGGTCTGGAACCAGTTAGACCGCAGTGAGCACAGTGGTCAAAACCCTTGTATGCTGGTGCAGGCCAGGAGTGAAGTTTGTTGAGCTGAATAATAAGTCTTCGTATTTAGTTTTTTGCCCTTTTTGTGCTTTTGTTTTGATATATGACTCATTGGAATGAGCAGATAATTACATTTCTGAAGCATTCTCTTAGTGTTTGGGGAATTCTGGGTATTTTAGAGCTTTTAGTGGGCGAATGCTTTCATAAATAAGAGGCAGTTTTCAGGGTCCATTGATAAGATTGGACCATCTATGTTTTTATGTTTTAAAATGAAGGGAGCGAGGGAGCACATATGTTTTAAATGTCCTGTAGCCAGTAAATGCCTTTCTGTGAGTCATTGCTGAAAGGAGCAGAAGGTCAGTGAGTGTGTGTGTGAGAGTGTGAACAAGGAAAGTAAGATAAGTAGAGCTGTATTCTATTTTCAATAAAAATTTCAAATCAAGATACATTTATTTTACTTAATATATTACGTTTTGTTGTTCTTTTTTCTTTTTTTCTTATTTTAGGCAAAAAAAAATCTCCCTTCATTTTTGTATTTTTTTTTTTTTTAGAAAACAATAGTTATTATCTTGATTTATCTTTAATTAGAATGGAATGTTTAGATATTTTGCTAAAAAAAAACAAGAGAAATATGTAGTTGTTATATGGCAATGCAGTTAATTGCAACAGGTAATTGTAATGTGTACAAGTTACATGTTGGGTGCATATTCTATTACTATTTTTAACAGTTAACATGAATATTGTAATCTGAGCTTGCTCACATGACCTCATCTCCACCACACTGTCCCATAAATCACTTGTTCTGTTTGGATAAACCAACCTTTCTAAGACACAATCCAGTCTGAATGATACAATACAGAACTATAATTACTGAACAAACTTCACAATTCTGTAACATAAACCACCTGTAGTGGAGCAGTCTTTCTTGAGATTAAAATCAAATGTACAGTATGTGCTGTATTTATACAGTATATAAGCTATTTATGTTAGCTGTGGTGTTAGTCTACACTGTTAGATTATGTATTATTATACATGTTCTATTAAAACAGCTCCCATGTCTTTGGCTCTCAAATTTATCTTACTGGTAGGCTATTTAAGTCTGTTAGCACACATCAAGACAGAATTGGTTGATTGAGGGAGAGAAAGAGAAAACCCTCCCTTTAAATCAGACCTGCTGTGACACAATCCAGACCTCAAGAAAGACAAGAAGGTAGAATGAAAACAAGGGCAGAATTACATGGAGAATGAGAATTTGAGACTTGAAATGTTCCTTGATTATTAAGAGCCCACATTTATAAGACTAGAAACAGGCCAGTGCTGATTCTGGATTTTCTGAAGCACTTCAGCTAGATCAGACTGTTGCCCGACCCGCAGACGGAGAGAAATCAAATCCGAGGGCGTATAACAGCCTGGCAGAAGCTGAGAGTTAGGCACAGAACTGCGTCTGTGAAAAAGCACTTCTCAAGTTTATTTAAACTCAGTCCTGATAATCGTTGACACATTGAGCCACCTGACACTTTTCCATTGGTTCCTGCTGAGACATAGCATCCTTCTTGTTGAGTTGGTCTTCGGCTACTTTCTCTTTGATGGGATCTGTGGATCCAAGAGAGTGAATTGAGCCAATTAAACCAGCCATACATTTTTCATTTTAAAATCTAAAAATATATTGATTTAAAAATCAATGACATTAAACATATTTAATTAATCACATTTGGTTAAATACAATGAATCAGAAACATTATTTCAAATTTTTAGGTTTCTGAAGTTGTTTAAACGCAAAATGCATAGATACATGCGATATTAATGATTAATGTTTGTGTGCTTTAACCCTGATTTACCAACGAATAACTTATATTTAGCTTATTTAGTAAAACTTCATAATGGTCACTGTGATACAGATCGGGTTCTGTGTGAAGTGTAGGTGATGGAAGGAGACACAGGGTCGGCAATATCTGGGGCTCGTGCACTTTTATTTTTCACTCTTTCCACAGCGCCCTCCGCGCTCACAATAACGTCACTCAAATAAACAAATCACAAACAGAAAGTAAATGGGCAAAACTCTTCCCGCTGGCTACAGCTTCGCAATAGGCTCAATCTCAGTAAAGACGTCGTGTCTGGCCGGTCCGTGCACGAGCTCCCAGTCTCTCTCAAAAGTGCTGTCTGCCAGGGCTGTTTATATGCGGTCTCCTCACGCCAATTACTGCAATCACAGACAGGTGTTCGTCATTTGAACTTGACCCGCTTACTCACCGCCTGGCTCCGCCCTCGCTCTCCCGCTGCAGATCTCGCCAAACCACGCACCCCTCGCCACATACCCCCACCGCCCGACTCAGGCCGGGGAGCCGTCCGGCCTGCAGCCCCCCCCCCCCTCCTGCGGGAGAGGAAGTCAGCCACAGCCATCTGTGCACCCGGCCTGTGGATCACCTGGAACTTGAAAGGCTGTAACGCTAGATACCAACGGGTGATCCGCGCGTTGGTATCCTTCATTCGGTGGAGCCACTGCAGGGGAGCGTGGTCCGAACAGAGGGTGAACTCTCGGCCCAGGAGATAATAGCGGAGAGTGAGAACAGCCCACTTAATGGCGAGAGCCTCCTTCTCAATGGTGCTGTACATGGTCTCCCTCTTCGAGAGCTTGCGACTAATGTACAGCACCGGCCGCTCCTCACCCTCTATCTCCTGGGTCAAGACGGCGCCCAGCCCCCTGTCCGATGCGTCGGTCTGCAGGGAAAAAGGGAGAGAAAAGTTAGGAGCCTGTAACAGCGGGCCACCACACAGGGCTGCCTTTATCTGGGTAAAAGCCTGCTGACACTGCTCCGTCCACTGAACGGTATCTGGCGCCTCCTTTTTAGTTAAATCAGTCAGCGGGCTAGCAAGGTCCGAATAATTATGTACAAACCTTCTGTAATACCCTGCTAGCCCCAGGAACTGTCTAACCTCCTTTTTGGTCTTAGGTCTCGGACAGGTCGCAATCGCTGCCGTCTTGTCAATTTGGGGACGCACCTGTCCATGACCCAAGTGAAAGCCCAGATACCTAACTTCCACGCGCCCAATTGCACACTTCTTTGGGTTGGCCGTGAGCCCAGCCCCTCGCAGCGTTCTGAGGACAGCTCGCAGGTGCTGCATATGCCGCTGCCAGTCGTTACTATAGATGATAATATCATCCAGGTATGCCGCGGCATATGCAGCATGCGGCCGGAGGATTCTGTCCATCAGACGCTGAAAGGTAGCCGGTGCGCCG